CTCCATTGCCAATTATTTTAACCCACTGATATAAATTACTGGAGCTAGTTTGGCTCATTCAATAGTAATGAACTTGTGAGAGGTGGTAAGAAGCTCTGCGGCAGCAGATGGGAATGTAATCCCTGGCTGGTGGTCACCAGGAGGCTGCTCACAACATTGATGTCTTCATCTGGCACAGTTTAATTATAAAGATGACATTTTAGTGGAAACCTCTTAATTTATGTAGAAATTGCAGAGAATTCATCTACCCATGGGCAAAGAAGGAGCTCTGATTGGCTTGCTCTGGGTCTCTCACTGTAGCCATGGTTTTGTGAGACAGCCTGGGTAGTGGCACAGCCAGCTTCCTACTAGCACTTGTCTGGTTTTGCCTGGAAGTGAGAAAAGGGGGGAAAGAAATCTTGTGAGCTTTTGACCACCAAATCAGCTCCTCAGTGTGGTCCAGGGCACAGGCTGTGGAACCACTGTGCCAGCACACTTGGGGCAGCTGTGGGGTGCAGTGGGAGAACTGAATGGTGGATGCAGGACAGCCACGACTGAGTGTTGCTGCCAAAAGATTTGCATCCCAAATTTGCAGCATCACTGTCTCTTCAGTTTCTTCTTACCTTCAAGGTTTTCACATTCACACTCAGGTACAGCTCAAGCAAATGTGTGCCCTAGCAAAGATCCTTTCAGTCAGTCTGTAAGGAAACCCCTGTGGGTCTGTAACCCGCTGCTTTCACACAGGCCTTGCCAGGCTGATCAGTTCCCCTGGCATTCTGTTGTTATTTCAGCTTGCACTAAATAAAGGAATGCCACATTTATCTTCACCCCTCCATTAGCTTGATTGACAAGTGTTTAGTGTTTTCCACAAGGAGCATCTTCAGGAGAGCAGTATCTCCTTGCTGACTCTGGTGTGACCATTCTGCCTCTACTGTGACCTGGTAATCTTCAGACTTGACCTCCAGGCTCTGACAGTGCACCTGGTGGTGCACTCGGTTAGATTGCCTTTCCAAAATTTATGTCTTTAAAAATAAAATTCTGATAAAGCACCACCTATTGACTAGTCCTGTAAACATAGTACTCTAATACAGTACTTTACTGTCCTTCCTTTTGTGACATATGTTCAGATCTATTTCCCCAGTGCTAAGATAACAATATGTGAATGCACACTCAGAAAATCTCTACTCTTCTAAAGGCATAAGCTACTTTTCATAGGACACAAACTTCTGTTTACTGTATTCAAATGAAAGTATTTCTGAAAATTGCTGATGACTGCATCTGTTTGAATTCATCAATTCACTACCACTCTGAACATTTGATAAACAAATAGCCTTGAACTGAAATTTCCCATGCCTGCAGTGTAATTACATTCTCCACTACTGCATTTGTTTCCCCTTTAAAAGCTGGGGCGAGGCACACTGAGTTTACTGTGGCAGAATCGCATTTGGTATGAATATACAGTACAAAAAGGTCCATTGAATCATGGAGTGACTCAGAAGACAGTAGAGGAGGGCTTTTTGGCTATGCAGAAATGTCAGTGGTTCAGCATTAGATCGGGAATTTCTTTACATGTTGGGAGGGACATTTAGTTGTTTAATCTGATGTTAAAATGTGAGTGCAGTGAGTCTAGCAAGGTGCGGTGAGGAAGTGTGGTCACATGCTCCTCACAGGAAATGAGCCTGGAGCTGCTGGGTAAGTTCAGAACTGGGTGACCTCCAAGAGATTCAAATAGCACAGGTTAGTGCTCTTAAAACATCTCTTTAGCTGTCCTGCCAGGGTTCTGCAGATGTATTTTCTCTGATTTTTGGCAGCAGTGGATGAGGAGTGCTCTGTGTGGCCGTTGTGCTAGTGGGCAGTAAGCAGTGTGGGATTTCAGAGCAGAGCTCTACAGCACAGAAATAGGAAGCTCATCTCTGGGTTAGCTTGGTTTGTGCAAAGCTTGGAGTCTGCCTTGCAAGTACAACAGCAGTGAGGCCTGAGTCACGTTACAAGTGTGCATGAAGTCTTCTCCATCTTGTTAAGACTTTCATAAAATAAGTTAAAGGTCTGGATTTTTAATAGATGTGTTCAGTGTTAATAAATAGCAGAAAGCACTTTTCCAAGTAGAGGTTAAAATAATTGACTATAGTGAAAACTTCTTTTAGTTTGTTTTGGCTGTACCAAGTATGTAGCTCTTCTCTTTGATTTTACTGGCACGGTTTCTTTGTAAGGTGTTCTTTCATTCCTGGTGATTTCTGTTGAGAAATTGCATCATGACTTTTCTGTGCTGGAGAGTTTCAACTTGGGAACACATTGCATCAGGAATTAAATTAATCTGAGTTGGTGCTGGAGAATTTGGGAGCTCTCAGAGGGAGACTTTAATGGGATGTATGTTTTGTACTCTAGCACAAATATAGATGTGTTACTTTTAAATTACTGGGCAATTGTGATTAATTACAAATCTTAAATGCGAAGTTGGAGTGCAATTCACAAAGAAAACAACCTTCAGGATGATAAAATGTATAATACAGTGGTAAGTGCACAGAATCTGAACTAAAAGGAAATCCCAGTGTGGAAGTGAAATCCCACGTGGTTCTGGGAGAGCATGGGGAGGAGGAGGAGACAGCTGCACAGCCAGCTCCAGCAATGGTGGCTGGAGGCCAAGCTGCTCACTCTGCACCTTGGGTCACAGCTTGAGAGGCAGAGGGGTTTGGACAGGGGTGGGGGCAGCAATCTCACACGAAATGCAGCTGCTGGGGATGACTGTGCTGTAACAAGGCCATGCCAGGCATGAAAATCAGAGATCTGAGCGTTGGGCAGGAAGTCCTAAAGCTGCCCATGCTTCTTCCCACATGTTTTAAAAAATGTTTTTCTGGTCATGTAGAAAATCAGAGTGAGTTTCACAGCTCTCTCACCCTCCTCATACCCGCTGGAGCACTCATCCTGATGTCAGTGCAGAAACACCAGTGTAAGATGAACGCAGTGGCTCAGGCCAGGCCGCTCCGGCACGTGGAGCTGGATGCTGCACCTGGCCCTGCTGCAGGGCATGGAGGGTCTTGGCAAGCTGGGAATAGCAGGGCCCTGTTCCTGGGCAGTCAAACAGCCTTGCAGAGCTTTGCTCTCGTATTTCAGGCTTTGGGGTTTTATATGCAGAGAAGGCTTTGGCCTTAGCTGGGCTCCTCTGCTTCTGTGAAACCAGCAAGTTTTCAGAGAGCCAGAGTTCTGCCCCAAATCAGCCTTTCTGATGTATTAGGGTTTATAGTCTTCACTGGAGCACTGTTTAACTGGGAATGCGATTTAAAAGCAATTTAGTAAAATCCCACTGCAGACATTTTCATTTCAGCCTAATCCTCTCTTATAGCGATTCATCTCAGATAGATTGAGTTGTTTTAAGCTAAATGTAATGGCTCGTAAATAATATATTTGAGCCTCCATGCAGTGGCTTGTGCCAGGTATTTGAAATGGAATTAAAAAATAAACTGATACACATTCCTAAATAAATAAACCCTAACACTTCTACTCTGCTACCAGGAGTGAACTTATTTGGGATAACAGGATTGAAAGAGCAGGAGAGTTGTTCAAGAGGGGGGATTTCTGAATGGGCCTTTTCCAGCAGCTTGTATTATGAAATCCAGGGAAAGAATGTTTCTTCCTCTAACAAATTAAAAAGGAAATCTGCAAAAAGAGGAAAGGGAATAAAAAGTACAGACTAAACAAAATGAATTAAAATTGCATTGGAATGAGAGAGAAGGGAAACCAAAAAGAGAACATAATAAAAAATGGAACCAGATGGGGACAAATTCTGTGCTTAGGAAGCAGAGGCTACTCTTCAGCCGCACTTAAGAAGGAGGAGAGACTGTGTACATATGTCTGTGCATTTATTATCTATGGAAGAAAAAATAATTTTTCGGTTTGGTTTTTTTTTGTTTTGTTTTTTTTTTGTTGTTGTTTTTTTTTTTTTTTAGTTTTTTGTTTTTCCTTTCCCTTCAGCAATGCTAATAGAGGAGTTTGATTTGAGGAAGCTTCAAATTTAGATTAAAGCCTCATTAAAGAATCTTTAATTCTGCAAATAAATAGAATATACCACTCAATGTCACCTTAATCACTGGCTGGTTTTACTCCCCAAAATCTACATGGCTGTGTTGCACTGTTAAACTTGTGTCCACTGTGCACTTGGATCCATAGCACAGGGTTATTCTACTCTTGCAGGGGAAAGCGTAGGAGTTAAGATGTGCAGCACCAGCTACTGCAAACCAGACCTGCATAGGCCAGCTTCAGAGAGTTTGCAGCAGAATCCCCTCGTGGGTTTCATTTTGCCACGTAGTGTATGCCAAGGTTGTGTGGCTGTGGGGGACTGGGCTCTTGAGACTGATTTCTAAATAGAAGTAAATCTGTAAAATGCTGAAAGCCTACTATGCTTACATTTTATTTTAAAATTACTGATTTTTAAAGATTTTATTTTGTTGTTTCTATTACTGAATACATAAAATGGTCAAGTGTATTTTTTGTGGGGGTGTTATTTGCAGCACATCTGTCACATCTTCCAGGCTGTTGCCTCTCCTTTAATTCCCCCCCACATTTGTTTCAGCTTTTGCACGTGTTTTTCTCTAGCCTAAACTACAGAAACCTCCTAATTACAAAGCTAGTTGTTGAACCATGTCTCTTAGTAGGAGCAGCTGTTGTAGTGGATAACTCTATTAGTCTTACCATCCCATCCATGGCTTTTTATGCCTTTTTGTTTTCCTTCCACCGTGTATAATGGCTTTTACTATGTATGCAATGGTGAAGTTGGAAGAATGATCTTAAATTTGTTTGAGAATAAACTGGGTCCTCTGGCCTCAGTGAGCAATAAGGAGAACCCAGCCAGTGTGTTTTCCTGTTCTGATTCCTCTTTAGAAGCAGGGGGCTCTTCTTCACAGTACGCTTCCACTTTCTCATGCAGAGTTCCTGCTTATTCAAGGAAATACATAATGGACACATGCTCAGGCTCTGTGATCACCAACAGTTCATAATTAATAGTTCTATTCCTTTCTTCCTTGCAGGATTGTGCAACCTGGGAAATGTTATTGCCATTTAACTAACTTCAGGAAGTGTATTCTGGACTGAATTGACCAGACCTCCCATTCTATGCAAGCATCTCCTGCTGGTGACCAGGTACAGAGCCTGTGGGATTTGCACTGAGGGCTGGGAGTGGATGGGAGTTGTGGTGTGAGCAGCAGCACAGGAAGCTCCTCTGCTGTGTCATTCCTGGCTTGTAAGAGTTGGAAGCTACAGAGCTATCTCATGTCTTAGGTTGCACTGTGACAGTACAAGAGTCATTCTTCTCCAGGGCAGGATTAATGGCAGTGCCAGTTTACAGGCATGCTCTGATGTGCCACACCTTTCCTAATGTCAGATTTAGGTGCCTTAGGTCACATCAGATTTTCTGCCAAATCCATAAGCTTTTAACATGTGAAGTGAGTTATTTTCTGTTTGTTTTTGTGGGTTTTTTTTCCATTCTAGTAGTACAAGGCTTACAGTGAAGGGGTTTAAGGCTTAGCAGCTAGGTCAGGAGACCTTAGGTATGATATTACCAGGCACAATGAATTATAGTTGTCATGAATTAGAGCAGGTGTCATTACACTTGAAAACTGCACAGTGAATGAAGCCTGCAACGTTTACAGTTTGGTGCTAATGAACAGGTACAGTATGAAAAGGTTCACTGAAACACATGGTTAGTAAGAAAGAACAGTGTGTTTACTTCTAAAAAAAATTTAGTTTAATTAATTTTTAATTTAATTTTTGGTTTAATTTTCTTCTCATTGCAGCAGAGGGCCCATCAGAAAGCACGGGCTGTCAATAGGCTGCGTGTACTGATCTGGAGCTGGTGCAGTCCAGCAGATCAAGTATTTCCTATCTCAGATGCTCTGTGTTGTAAACCCCAACTGGTGGCTTCCTTCTGATTACTGGGCCATGTAGAAACTGATGCTGGGAGGGTCCCAGAGTGGTTTGGGATTTTGGTTCTCTGTAGACATGAGCACAGAACCATTCAGGGTTTCTTCTTGATAAGTCTGTAGCTGGTCCGAGTGGGTTGATGCTTTGGTGTAGTTTCAGCTGTGCACTTGCTTTGGAAATCACAGCCTGAGAAATCTGTGTGCTAGGCTTGGACAATGTGAGAGGGAAGAGCTAGCCCCAGGAACAGACAAATGTCTCACTTCATTTGGGGATCCACAGCTCTTACCAGGTATGGACTGCTGCTGGATGAGGGTTGGTGCAAAGGCTATTATTTGGAAAATTATTCCACAGGACTGAAAAAGATGGTACCACTGTGTGGTCGGGAGTCAAACCTCCCTGCTTGGGTAGGAGGGGATGGGCTGTTCAAAGGAGGGAGACAAGCAGGGTAAGGAAGATATGAGTATTTATAAACTGGCATTTATAAACTTACAATGCGATACTGAGATAAAGATGATACATTGTCACTCTCAGCCATTTCACACATGATATGGGATTGTGGAAGGTCCCAGAAACAGCAGAAATAATGACAGCACAAATACCACCTGTGAGGAAAGACTGGAGGAAATATGATTGCTTAGCCTAAAGAGGAGAAGTTCAAAGAGACATGTAGCCAGTTTTCAAATAACCATGAAGAAGAAAGGAATGACTTCTTCTATGCATCACTTGTAAATAGTGTGAAAAATAGTAAATGAAATCACAGCAAACAGAGGTCTGAATAAAGTACTGGGAAAAGCTTAATTGGCTGATAGGATAATAACATAGATGTCAGGGATATTGCAGACTTTCCATCAGTGGAGATTTTTAGAGAAAAAAGAGTTGAATACTGCCAGGAATGATATAATCTATGGTGACTCAGGGGAAGGAAGGGTAGATGCCCTCCTCCAGACCTGCTGTCTGTTGTTCTGTGTTTCAGTCTCCTTGTTGACAGTGACTTTGAAATTTTCTGGTTATTGATGAAAGCTAAATAGTTATTTTAAAGGAATAAACATTTCCATATGGATGGTACAGTGTATTTCATACTCCACTTTTCAAGGAGGGAATGGAAAATGCTGTTTCTGAGTTTTCTGAGATCTTTCTCTTGGAAGTAAACAGATAAATGAGTGCATTATAGTCTGCACATTGTGGGAAGGTATTGAGTTACTGTTAGCAGCTGTCAGGGTAATGACCAGGTGTGCTCCTGCCTAAGAGGGGGACCTGGAAAGGCAGGCCCTGGTGCCTTCTCAGGTGAACAGAAAACTGCTCATTAACATCACAGATGTTAGAAGTCTGATACTAATGGCAAACTTCAAATTCATGCTGGCTGTGTTGAGCAGCATTCCGTAATAGCAAGTTCTGGTGGATCAGTGCTCACCTGAAGAAGTGTTTGGCTGCAGAGCTGAGGCTCTGTTCACGCAGCAGCCCTGGTGCTGCTGTACCCTCTCTGTGTGGAAGCAGGGCTTTTTCTCTGAGTCGTGCTGCCTGGACTGGCTCTCCCTGTGACCCAGCCTCCTGTGAGCCTGCCTGCTCACAAGGGCCTTGGCACATGTGGAAGAAAACAATGATCCCTGCACCATCATTTTTTCAGGACTGCCAGTCAACAGGACTGCAGTTTAAAAGAGAAAGTAGACTTCATGAGAATAATGATGTCTTAGGACCTCATAAAACCAATCCAAAGCTTCCTTTCAGCTGTGAGTTTGATCCAGGTACTACAGCTCTCTGAGTTTAGGAAAAAAAATTGCTTTTTATTTGGAAGGTTGTGGCCTCAGATTTGAAGTAGGTCTTAACTCTCCATCTAATTACAAATTCTGGTTTTGAAAGCAAAGATGTTAGTAGTTACAGGTCAGTCTGCCATCTGCTAAATTTAGCTTTCAAATTTACTTAAAATTTGGTTTTTACCCCTGCAAGCTAACCAAATCATTCAGCCAGTTTGATCAGGGTTTTGGCCATATTTACAGGATTCAGCAGATATGATGATAACTTTAGCTGGGGTTCAGCAACTGTGACAGCCACTCTTGTTACAGATAAGGGGAAATGGCTTGCCACCCTCCAGTACTTTCTGTTTCAGGGCACCTGCACTGAGCACTAAAGCCTGCAGTTTCTTTTCTCTTCTGAACTGCTGGTAGACTGGCACTAGCAAGGACAAATTACAGCTCTTCTTTGGAGTAACAGCATTTGTCGAATGTTCTGAAGAGGAAATGGAAGTGATGAATGATGGTGTGTGGCTGCTTTTGGTTTTGTGGGTATGTTTTCATGGCACTGGTATGTCCTACATACTTTTTTTCAGCTTGAACTACACGAAATTACTACTTTCATGCAATAGACCTGCATTTGGAATACCAGCAGGAGCTCAGCTAGACCTGCTGTCTTGGGCAGGGGCCAATAATCTCTAAATCTAGCTGTTCCCTGGGTCCCAGTGAGTTCCTGTGCCACCTGTGTGGCAGGCTGCCTCAGAGGTGCCAGCTAACGCAGAGGTGCCATGCTGGCTGGGCACCACTTCCAAAACACTGGCAAGAGCCAGGAGGCACTGCTGACCCTGGAGCAGCTGGGTGAGGCCCCTTGTCTCTCCTCAGGCAATGGTTTGTGGCTCCTGCTGGGTTCAGGCGAGATGTGCGTTTGTCCCTCTTGGCATATTCACCTTCCTGGCACCTCTGCCTGGGCCTGAACTGTGCAGTCACCAGCTGTGGCCCCACATGGGCTGTCACCACAGTGGCCTGAGCCCCCTGGTAAACCCATGCCTTCCAGGACAGGCACCCATGTGGCACACTGCCTTTTGCTACTCTTGCTTCATGGAAATATTTTGTTGTTGAAGGTCATATAAAACAGTTAGAGATATAAATATTTAAAATAAAATGCAGATAACTGAGTGGAACCTCTTGGCTTTTACTCACCATGACTTGGGAAACACTCTCTTTTGACATGTGTTGACTGAACCAGCTTCCTAAGTATCAAATGGAGGGATGCTGTGTGTTTCCAGCCCGGGTAGCTGCAGCAGGCAAGGCAGCTGTGCTGTTTTCCCGCTCAGGAAGGCAGTTCAGGACATGCCTTTGTCTTTGTGTAGGGGGAGATTGACTAGTTTGTGTCCTGAGCTGTGACTTTGCCCTATTTTTTTGGCAGAATCCATTAATAATCATTCTTTCCAGCTTCTCCTCTTTGCTTGCTAGTTAAGTACTTGCCATGTGCAGCTGTTAAAAGTTGTTTCCAAAGAGAAATAAACTGGAGCAAAAACTTCTGTAATTGGAGATGGGGAGGAAAGCAGATGGGCGTTTTCAGTTTGTTGTCCTTGGATGCTTTTTGTTTCATTTGTGCCACGCATTAAACCAGAGCCCTTTACAGGACTGTGTGCCCTCCTGCTTCTGCAATCTGTGTCCTCCCAGTCCTAGCTGGAGCAGCACCAATTTGCCTGTGTCCCTTGCAGGGATAATGGGGGCAGTCAGCATCAGTCAGAGAGCCCTGTGCTTCATCAGCAGTGCCATGATGTCAGTACAGCAAGATAGAAATCTCTTCAGGTCTCAAACTTTGACAAGGCATAAAAATAGTAGTTTCCCTCTTTCTCTTTTTTTTTTTTTTTTTTTTTTTTTTTTTTTTTTTTTATTTAACCCAAACCCCACATTATTAAGCACTCACAAATTTTAGTGCCTCTCCAGGTAGATCTGGGAATTTAAATTCCTGCGTTGTCTTTTATGTAACGTTAGAATTGCTTTGAGTTTGAAGGAACCATGGACTGATGAAAAACAGAACTGGTACATTGCCATCTATTAGATAATTGCCAAAACAAGTAGAGAAGCCTATTTCATAAATGAAATCTTCAGAAGCTATCTTTACTTACAGGGCTTCCAACTGAACAATGAAACCTTAGATTAGTCACAGACAACTTAACTGTGTGCCCTTACTGTGGGTGTTTAAATTGGCATCACCTGCTGCAATGCATGCTGTGTACTCGGATGCATACCTGCAAATTTCATGGTCCCAGTATCATTAAGTATTCAGCTAAAGGCCCAGGTCTCTAATCTGAAACCTCCAATTCAATGTTATCTCACCTATATTTCATGGACATATATATTGCATAAATATCAAGTCCTGCTGCAAAAGCAGATGGAAGGATTTATGTGAAAATGGCTTTACAAAGCTATTGTGAGTAAAATTTTTATTGTAGCTCTGTTCTAGTAAATGAAACAAAGTGT